TACAATTCGTAAAATATTAAATGCAAACCACACATACACACACTTAAGTATGCAGATCTACGGACGTTCATGCATGCAAAGGTAGAAAGTTTGCAATAACGAACAAATCACCACAACCGCAAATGTCAACAGTTTTTGACAAAGGGTTACTGGTAAACTAATGCCATCCTTAGCACGAATAACTTCAAAAAAAAAAAAAAAATGGGGGAAAAGAAAGTAGAACCAACGAATATAAGAACAAGAGAAAACGGAATTCAAAGTTTGACATTCTGTCTAGTCTGTATAGCAATATAAACATGAAAATGTTTATCCCTCTAATGCCACCCACTTTCATTTACTCTTTGCTTATTATTACATGTAAACATTTCCCTTTTTTTTTTTTGTTTTTGTTTTTCCTATTCTTTTGCTCTTTTCTCCTTGCCACCTCATCGTAATTTTCCTTCTCTTGTTTTTATTGTCGTTTTAATTTTCCTTGTTTTGTTTTTTTTCGAAAGCTTTCATTGCTCTCTAAACTGTCTTGATAATCTGATGGAAAAATATTTTTTTTTTTCATTTATGCACAAAGCATTGTATGAGTAAAAGATTGAATATAATAAATGCATCAGCGCTATCTCATCTCCTGTCATATTTTTCATTCGCCTATGTGTATGTAGGTGTGTGCGTGTGTGTGTGTATGTGTGTCTGTTTGTCTTGATTTGTTTAATTTCGTGTATGTATTACGACTCTCCCTTCTTGGTGTCTGCCAATGTAATGATGTGTCTGTGCACCATCGTAAAGTGACTGCTAAAAGCTTATGCGAATGCTAAATGCTAAAACGATTACTACTACTAAACCAATATGCGAATGTTGATGGTAAGGAAAAAAGGCGTGTTTACGGCCTTGACCTTGTTGCATTTTACAGTTAGTAACAGATTACATATATTCTGTCTAGTATTCTCCGGCATATATGAACCGGTTATGTTTATATGCACGTATATGTGCGTAGATGTTGTTATTTTTTTCCCTTTTTTTTTTTTTGTTTAACATCTCTCATAAAATTCTTTCCTATACTCAAGTTATAATGAAAAATTTTATTGCATTGCTCTTTTGTACTGTCTCTCTCTCTCTCTCTCTCTTTCTCTTTCTCATTCACAACCTCTTCCAAACCTTTCACTTGCTTTCTCTCATACAATGTTGCAAAAAGTTTCTGTATATAACATTATTAAGTAAGAGCATAATCTTTGTTAACATGTAATGTAAATTACAGAATTAGGTAAATATCTAAATCACCACTAGGAACAGGCGAATATTGCATTGCATTGCATTTCTCAAGAAACGAGAAAAAAAAATCGAAAATGCATTTTTAATTCATACAAATGCTCTTTCTTCTAAGCCCTTTAACTCTTTTCCTAAATTTTTTTTTCTTTTCCTTTTTCTTTTTTGTTTCAAAACCAATCGCACCGCTGCGAGAATAATAAAAAATCTACTCCTTTTTTTTTGTTTTAGTTTAAATAGCGCTGTAGAGCTCCCTTCTAACTAATCCATTAATTTATCAAAATTACTTTTACGTGCGAATGTTGATTGCACGCATAAGAGAAAACTTAAAATGCTATCAAATCGCCTGCTGAGAGTGGGAAACTAATGTAAACTCGTCTACGTATTTTTTTGCAGAAAAGTTTTATATATTTTTCTACCCTAAGCTCGTTTAGATAATGTTAAGATTTAAGAATCTCATTAGTGTTCCAACCACGGCACGGCCGGCTCGCCAAGAAACACTTTTATCAATAAATCCATATTTGTTAATTTACTTCTTAATGCATTCATGTGCAAGCTGGCATGATAGAGATATGATTTTAATTTTAAATCATAGGTGAAATACAGTCAAAGATAAAGATACGCCTTTTCAATTGTTTCATAATCATTCGAAAGCTTTTATTATTATTATTATTACACGATTATTTAGAGGAAAGAAATAAATTCTAGGGCTAAAAGTAGGATAAGCTCTGGCAGTTACTTTAGTCACATTATTAGAAAGATTTTCGAAATCGCAAAGTATATGTTTAATCATAAGAGTTTGTCCTTAATCGCAGATCCAAATGCCTAAAATGTTCGAAGATCCAAAAATAAAGTATCTAAGACGCCTGGCATCGTTATAACTGCCGAAGAGAAGTAGTCAATCGAGCAGCCCATTTCGTCTATCAACAGAAATATTCTCATTCACATTGGCTATGGAAAAAGTGCGGAAGTGGATTATACGTTACGACGAAGTTGTCCTTATAGAATTTATAGAGCGGATTGAAGAAGTATGCGACACGTATGAGCTTCCCATAGCTCTTATGCCATGAGTAATGCTAGAATTAGTTACGGGCCAAGCTCTGAGATGGTATCGTAATAAATCGCGGGCTTGAGGCGGATATCAGAACTTAGAGAAAGAGTTTTTCAAAATATTCCAAGTATCCATTGACCTGTTGCAACGGTATGCCCAAGGCGGATTTTTGCAAAAGTTTTACTCTTGATTTTCGCGACGTTGGCTGGACATAAACCTGGAATAAGATATTTAAAAGCTTTTAATTATTTATGTTGAATCAATATTGTAATCAATTATAAGAAATATGAAATATAGAAAATATATCAAGAGAATATATAAAGATGAGTTACGCATTCACTATAGTTTGTGGCCATTCTACTAATAAATTCTATATCTACTATTTATTGTTGATAGCAATTCAAAATTTATATATACCTGATATTTATTATTTTCATGAAATTAATTTAAAAAATTCTTATATGCGTTTCCAATACACTTAACTTGTGCTCATCCCTGGCGTATAGCAAGAGAAAGTTATTTGGAAAAGATGTCAAATGATATCGATTGTCTTATATTTTTCAATCGGTAAAGCGTTTATATATCCTTCTTTTTGGGGCCTTGAAAAAAGGAGTCATATACAGTTTTTATCATAAATCAAAAATCGCATTAAAATGAAGCCACGCCCTTAGATAATATTATTGTTACAACTATGTATGTATGAGAAATCTCTCCCATGATCCAAAAGATGTATTGTACTCGTCCGTGCTCGTTGCCGTCCGGCCGCCTTGTTTTGCTCGGAACACCATACTGTGTATGACTGTACTCCCCCAAAAACTTAGTATCTAAATCTGCAGATGGCCTCGCATTCACATAGAATATGATGGGGATGTTTCACTCGTCCTTTGGCAGAATCAGCATTAGTAAGTATCGGAGATACCTATGTTTTTCACAGATGATATGTGAGGGAATTGGGAGTAATAAGTGAACGAATATGACGTAAGAGACAAGCGAGTGGTCTAAATTAAATCAAAATGAAGAACCCTTTGCAAGTAACACAAACGGAAACAGTCAGGCAATAGATTAACACTTTACGAGTGTTAATGTCATATAAAGCAATTAAATAAGAGTATGAGTATTGAGGAATGTTTAGATGGGAGATTTACCGTAAAGATAACGACGTCGGTCTATTGGAACACTATACATCACAACTGTATACTGAAGGGAATAAAGTTAAAGATAAGATAAACACAACGAGTTTCGCTGAATTACTATACTTTCAGAGGTCAGAGAATTAATTGATTTCTTCACAATCCTTCTAAATTAAAGAGTATTTTTTCGAAATAATACAACAAGCTGGCCTGGCACCTGTTCATAGCTGCCTCAATTTCAATACGTAGATGCTTTTTGAAACGTGAAAATGTTTTTCGTTGCATCGGTGTAAGCCTTCTGAATAGCCTCGACATCAGCGTAATGCTTTCCTTTTTCCATTCACGTCCAATACGAATGCCAGTCATTTACTTACAAACATTTTCCCATAAAACGTTTTAAGCGAAAATTATTGCTTTCGTACTTATGCCAGCCTCACTTGGCGCCTTTGAAATGGAGATGCGGGAACATTACTAGAATCTTGGTGCAGGCCATGAATTGATTCAACAATTTTTGGCAAAGCGAATACAAGAGAACTTCAAAAAAATACTGAGTTTAGCGAAGAATTCGCTTTAATTAGTCATAAACCGGTGTGTGTGTGCATACACAGCATCACATAGGATTACACAAATATAAAATGAAGCAAATTTATAAGACGTCGGCATAAATGTTTGCTTTTCTTAAAAGGATCCTCTTAAGCCATGAACTGATTGAACATGATTCAGGCAAAGCGAAGACAAGAGAACTTCAAAAATGCTGAGCTTCGAATTTTTGCTTTTCTTTAAAAGGATCTCATAAGCCTTTTTCTTCAAAATATACAATTTTCATATGAATTCAACTCTGTCAACAATGTCCTTCAATTCTAAGCCGGGCTAAATAGTGACTGTATATTATTATATGTATCACGAGTTAACCAAGCAAAAGGAAACCTGTTGGGTCACAGAGATTGGGCAATTTTCACTTTATCCATTTTTTTCTTGTGCTTTTGTCTCTTTCTCTCTCCATAATATTCCAAATCAAGGTAGATAGTAGTAGCTTTAATCCAACCGGGAAAGTATATGTTAAGGAAACACTTAGCACAGGCAAGTTTCAATTTACATAGATTTAGGTCAAGACGCGAGACCGGCTTAATAACACGGTTGGCGGGATAGAGAGAGAGAGAGAGAGGCATTTTTATTGTCTCCTTCCCTTTGCAAGTGGATACAAATTTTATTTTATAATTGAAAGAATTTTCAAAAAAAAATATAATAGAAAACCTTTTATTTATTTACTTCTTTCGTTTCATTATTGTATTGTTTATATGCGAAAGCGAATCAACTGTTAAACGCTGTCAAAAGAATTATTGCATTAAATGAAATCTTAGAAGATAATTCAAAAAGAAAGTCTCTATTAATGTTTCAAAACTTAGTTGGCGTTGAAATTTTTTAAAAAACAAAGTAAAAAGTTTTCAAAGTAAAATTCAAAGTAAAGTTATGCCAGAAAAAAAGTGTTTTTCATTCGAATAGTGAATGTTAAGTGAGTAAGACACCAACATCAAGTTTTCAAATTTTAATTCATTGCAATCAAGTCAATGCGCATATTTTCTATTATAATTGAGGCATTTCATCATTTTGGGACAAGAATTTTGCAAGGACATCGTTTAAAACCGGCATAGCCGCAGAATGGTGCGCAGTATATTTTCGCAACGTTATAATTATTCGAAAATACGCATCAATGAAGCCTTGAACGGTAAGTATGCAAACAAAAGCTTTGTAATATTTCAGATTAATATCGCTAAAATAAAATTCATTGATATACATCTATCTATATGCGAAGATGTTTTCCGGCGTATCGCAACTTGTCCTAAAATCACCAAACTGCCACGTTTAAAGCGTACTTATTACATTGCCACGCCAAGGCCAGCGCCTGAACGAAAAAATAAAGCAAAAGTTAAAGAGAAAAAACTTTTGCGATCTTCTGATTGGTATGTGTCATAATATATATAAGTATACATACATATATATTATATATATATATATATATATATACATATATACGTACATATATGTATATACATATGAAAATAAGTAAAGCTCAGTTTTTTTTTTTTTTTTTTTTGTTTTTTCATTTTATTTTCTCTGCATACTTTTCCTTATTTTCGTATCTCTAGTCATGTTTTTGTTTGTCGTTGCGTTAATTTTTGGCCGCAAATAAATTTCAATTTTTTATTTACCTTTTTTTTTTTTTAAATAGGTACGACAGTGATAGTATACCCATGACTACAAGATACGAATTGGAGATTATTTTAGATACGCCACTAATGGAACGCCCTTCAGTCCATAATTCCAAAGGAAGTTTCAGTCATGTACATTGGAAATCCGTTGAAGCTGATGAAGTTTCCGCGAGTGATTCAGAGAAGCGGTCTTCAAGTCCTAAAGCCGAATCCAAGCATTCCAGAGAAATTGAAGATATTAAAGAGAGGACAAAGTCGCCTGCCGACAACGAAAATATTATTGATAAGCCATTAAAAGTTGAGGGGAACACGTCAAACGAATCGAAGGAAATAGATTCAGAAAGAGCATTTTCTACACAATTGTCATGGCAAACTGCCACATCATCGGCTCAAATGTCCCCATCACCGGCGATTTTAAAACCAACCCCAACGGCAACAAAGACCGCTGCGAGTGTGGACGCCTTTAAAATGGAAGAAGAATTTGAATTTGTTGTACCGGCACTAAATAAAAGGCGTCGAGCCAAAAATTTGCAGAAAAGTTATGAATGCGAACAATGTCATAAAAAATTCGATCGCCCCTGGGTACTGCATGGTCATATGCGCTTACATACAGGCGAAAAACCATTTGTTTGCCCCATTGAATCTTGCCAAAAACGTTTCGCTGATAGGTTTGTAAATAAAATAAACGCTTTTCGCTTTTATTTTATAAAAAAAACAAAATTTTCAGATCAAATTTACGAGCTCATCAACGTACCAAAGGCCATCATAATTGGAATTATCAATGTGCACAATGCACTAAATCCTTTAGTCAAGAAAATTATTTAAATCGCCATAGTCTCGAAGCATGTCGAAAATTTTTAGCTGCCCATAAAAACAGTTTTAATATTTGAAACTATTTATTTATTTATTTACATTTTTTTTTTGTTTTTTTGATTTTAAACACAAAAGGAGAGCATAATTATCAAAAGAGTTAAACTAATTAAATATGAAAATTTAAATAAAAATACATTTTAAACTTTTTGAACTTTTATTTTCAAATTCGAGCAGTACTCTGAAACTATTCTTAAAGTTACTCAAGTATTTAGATTGGTACTGTTTTTTTTTTTTTTTATTTTTATTTTGATTATTTTATGATTGTCAATATTTAAGCAATCATATCTCCTTTAGTTCATCTATAACAATGTAGACCAAAAACGAATCATATTGCAAGCAGAATATAATAAAAAATGAAAACAATTAAGCTGGCAATACCCTAAACTATAAAATGTTGTTAGACTAGTCTGTTAACATCTCGTATAAACGAAAGAAGAATAACAAATGAAACATATGACGATAGAAAAACCGAACGAGAGTAAAACTTGATTATAATTGCTTCGAGTCGGTTGCTATTTTATTTTCAGTGGTATTTAAAAAAAAATTTTAAAAGAAAATTTAACAATTTTACTAAGAAATTATATTAATATTTAAAGGGAAAAATTTCACTTTCATGTAATTCATATATCAATGGAAATATATCAATTTATTTCGTGAATTCTTGGCTAAGATAACATCTGCAGAAAAAACTTGTAATTTTGGTGTAAAATAACAACAAAAACTACAAATCATTTTGTTTCTATATTATCGGTTTTCTCTACATTATTCGGTTTACAATAAGAAAAGAAAAGAAAAAAAAAAAAAAAAAAACAAGTTTAAGTTCATGTAACTGCAGTAAAACTCTTGTGCCAATTTTGTGACTGTAATTGATTAATAAAAAAACATTACCACAAATTGTGACTGCAGTAACTTCTTTATACGAACCAAGTGTCAACTTTTTTTCAGCTGAAAGAAAACAGGTTGGTAACAGGCTTTCTGCTATTTTACTTTATTGGGTCTTTTCTGATAGTTTTTTTTTTTTTTTTCGTGAACATTTCGTTTAGTCATTCGTGTGTGCGTTATCATAAATTTCGGTTTTTGTTTTTTATACTTTTTATTGAATTATGTATTGAATTTTTCTTTTATAAGAGACAATGAGCAAAAACAAAGTACCGGCATGTGTTTGTCATCTGTTTTGTGTTATTTTTTTTTTTTTTTGTAGGCCAAAGATACAAAATGGTATTGGGTGAAGCTATGCGATTAATGTGAAACGAAATGAAATTGAATATATTTATAGTGTTTTTTGTCTGCAGTAAGGGCTTAACGTTTTTTGTTCTTTATTTTTTTAATTTTTTCTTTTTTTTTTGTATTTCTTTATAAAATATACAAAGAGATGTTTTTCCTGCTTAAGTGGAAATTGAAGAGTGTAGACATAAGGCGATGATAAAGTTTTTGTACGGTCCTTTTAATTAATATTAATATTGTTTGCCTTCGATATAGCCTCATACGGTACGCCCGGAAAATATTGACGTGCGTTTTCTGTTTTTTTTTTTTATTTTAGGTTGTGAGTAGGTAAGGCAATTGCAGCTTTTTTGTTTTTCCTTACTTAACTCGTTCACGTGCGACAAAGCCGTTTCTTACCACAGCCCGGAACTACATATATGTGTGACATATTTTTGAACTGTGTTGGACGGTTTTCCTAGGAGAATCTATTAGAGAACGGATTAATATAATTAGGTCTGGTGGGTTGTGAAATTGCGTATAATCGAACGGAAATTTGCAAAATTTCTTATTATTTTATATTATTTCGTAATATTGAAGACTGCACGAAACTGGCAATAATTAAATCACGCAACACTGTCGAATGCATTACTGGTCAAGGTCATTTATTTTAACGCTTAGAAGGAATATTATATATGTTCAATAATTTGCATTCACCTCCGGGTAAGAGACAACGGCCAGCTGAAGGAAGTCTGTCTCTTCGGTGGCGTTATTTACTGAAGTACAATTCTTGCCAATAGCAAACTTGTAGTACACGATTACCGTGGATATATGCAGACTCATGGGAGGGCTTGAGAGAGGCCCACTTTTATTTACCAATTCTTTTTTTTTTTTCCTGAAAATGATATTAATTTTGTCCTATACCAATAAATAAAAATATTCTCATAATCAGTTCGAGTGCAAACGATCTGTACATTCCCGGCATTCTTATCTATACATTTTTTTTGTTTTTTTTTTTTTTTTAATAATAATAAATATTCACTGATTAATTACATTTAAAAGTTTGAGACAAAAACAGCATGGAATGAAATAAAATGTAATTTATGCTTTTAGCAAAAAATATGACAAAAAAAAAAGAAAGAAAAAATGCTAAATATTAAACTTATCTGTCGAACATTTATCAATCGTATAGTGCTACTAACCATTAATCAATTGATTATTATATTAAATGTTAATTTCTTTTCATATGTGTCGTTGCATTCAAAAGTTATTAAAATTTATTATAATTCAATGGTAAAGTATGCGCATTCATATGTATGTGTTTGTGTTCATCATGAACCGATTGTTTGATTTCCGTGTATGAAGAGTCATTTAACGATTACCAGTAGTAGACACCAATCAAACTGTAAATTATTGTCAATTTCTTCTTTTATTTAATAGCAATGCATGTACACAGGAATTTAAATACAATTCATGTACAGTTGTTAGGTGTCTTTAGTTAGAGGAGTTTTGCTTATTTGCGCGGGACTCAATTAAAAGCGAACGGAAAAGTAGGAAAAGAAAAAGCAAGAAAATCAACCTTAACTCTCTAGACAATTATTTACGAGGATTAGGTGAAAAAAGAAGAAAAAAAAATAAAAGACGTAACAAAGATAAATATTAAGGTTAGGTCGAAATTTTATATCCTATCACACACACAGCTAGTTAAGTTGGTGTAATTACAAAATTCCTTTCTATTAAATATGGATTTCTAAATTCAAATCTTGTTGATTCGAAACTTCAGGCAAACGGTCTTTAAACTGTATTCCTAGATCCCACATACAAAGATGATTTGTATCCACAAAATTGTTTACATAACTGCGTTACGTTAAGTCAACTTTTCTTGAGTTTGGAATTTTGGAGCTAAAATTTGCCGCAAGTGGCCGTAAAATGATGCGCTTGCAAGTGGCCGTGATTTCGCCCAAGATCTGGCTCAAAAAAAGCCAACATATTTAAAAAGCCCAATGCATAAAAAATTAATTTTATGAAAATGGCCTCAAATTCGTTGTGGTCCTCCTTATTCCAAACTTCCACTACTTCGAGAAAAATCGATAATTTAAATATAAACTCAGCGATAATTTATGTACCACTTTAGTAAGTTTAGCTTCCGGTTAAATACTATTTCTTATTCCATTAAAGAGAGAGAGAGAGAGAGAGTGAGAGATGCAGAGATTCAAGTTGTAAAGAATTTAAGCCAACGGTTTGAATCGGTTTCGTTTTCAAGGCATGTTGTAAGTTTAATGAACAAATTAATATACCCAGTACCTGAGGAAAGTATCTTTGAAAACAATTGAAAAAAGTAGATATATATATATACATATATATATATATAATGCTTTAGTTTTGGTCGCATCAGTACTAATCTACAATGCAGACTATTCCCAAAAGTCTACTGTTAAACTGTGAGACAAAATGAATGAAAAGTGGTTACCTTGTTCCTTGCAAATGCTCCTCATTTACATGGAAGCTTCACAATGCATACATTGCTTCATGTGTGTATAGTGAAAAAAAAAAAAAAAAAAAAAATGAACCTAATCTACCACTCAACCTTTAGCGTGGATTATAATAATAGATAAAAACAATACGTATTGTCTGCGCCTCAAATATACATAAATGATTTTTATTAGACTATATGTGTTCATAGCAATAAAGAGAAAGCGAAGAAATTAGTTGTGCAAACGGTTGTCAAGAGACACGATGTGTTCTGTAATTGGGGTAAATCAGTAACGAATGTAAAAAACAATAAAATGTTTCTTTGAAAGATAATTGCGTTATCGATAAGTTGTGCGTTGTGTTGTTTTGCAAATTAATTATTAAAAAAAGAGGCAAAAAAATAAATAATAATAAAAAAACAAAAAAAAAAAATTGAATCGTTAAAAAATATAGAATAAAAAAATAGAGAGTAATTGATGCCTTTAGCAAAAACAAGGTAAAAACAAAAATAAAAGGATTGCAAAATAATATTACACTTATCTCTCGAACATTTATTTTATTTATCAATCGTGTAGTGCATGCTATTAATAATTTGATTATTATAATATGAAATGTTAATTTCTCCTTTTGGGTGTAGGGTTGCATTTAAAAATTATTAAAATTTATTATAGTAAATATAAAGTATGCACATAGGTGCGTGTGATTGTGTTTGTACCATGAATCGTTTGCATGATTTTTGTTTATAATGTTGTCGTCGTCGTCGTCGTCGTCTAACAATTACGAACAGACACCGATCAAACTGTAAATTATTGTCAATTTCACACACTACACACACAAAGGGATTTACATACAATTTGTATATAGTTGTTGTTAGGTGTCTTTAGCCTTTTTATTTTATTATTTTTTTTTTTCTTTTTTTTGTAGTCAGAGGAGTTTCGCTTATTTGTGGCGGCGCTCAATTAAAAGCAAGAAAAAATAAAAAGCATAAAAAATCAACCTTAACTCTCTACACAATTAGACAAAGAAGAAGAAATCGAAGAAGAAGAAAAGAAACGCGAAAGCAAAAAAAAAGTGCAACTAAAGAATAATAGAAAATTACACATGTTTTTAAATGCATATGTAGTCGGTAGTAGGTGTGAGCGATTTCTTTTTTTTTTTTTTCTTAGTTTTCGAATGTGTTTTTTGCTCTTTTTATTTCTTTCTTCTCTACGAGCGCAATTTTATGTAATAATTGTCCAGCATATTGGCATTTATTATAGACATACATCCAAAGCTTCTATGTAGCAAAATATATGACATATATTTGAATGAATATAAAATAGAACAAAAAAAAAAAAAAAAAAAATAAAGAAGAAAAGCATACGCTATTTACTACCCCTCTGTAGTCAATGTTATAATTGCAGTATTTACCGTCAACGATAATAATGATGGGACCTGTAATGGCTTCATATACAATTGTTTTTAAATGCAGAAACGTTTCTCTAATAAGTATTTTAATTTAATTTTTGTAACCTTCAATCGTGGCGCAATTTCCTATTCATATACCACTCCCCTATTTTCATTAACAACGATAACAACAACAACAACAACAACAGCAACAACAATTACTAAAAACATATAAATCGCTTTGAGCCGAATCTTGGATATACGCACTAATAAAGGTAGATGAATATACGAGAGGTTTATAATTTTGTTTTCATGCCCACCACTCAAGGATGAGGGTATACTGAGTTTCTCTTTCTTTTTTTTTTTTTCATAATGTTTGTAACAGTCAAAAGGAAGGAAGCTTCAGAGGCCCCATAATGTATATATATTCTTGATCTTGAAAATCGGAATTGATGAGGCCATGGCTGTCCGTCTGTGCGGGATTTATTGTTGGCACTCGCCTGCTTGGAAAAATAAAGGCATTGACTTGAAATTTAAATGTAAACCGGCGAAATTGGTTAGAGCATAAGTCCACTGTTGAGCGTAGACTGAATGCAACTTCATTTATCTTAACGAAAGTTTGTGGGTATTGCCTCATTACTCAGAAATCGTAAAGATTAGGAGGCTGATAATTTTCATATTTATTTAATGAACGCTTTACTTTTTGCGTGCAAAAATGGAAAGAATCGGCCATGCCCACATAAACTTAAAATTAATAAAATTTAATTTTTTTTTCACTTCTTTTGAAGTTTTATATTTATTTGTCCCAAGACAGAATGTTCAAAACTATTTTGTGCATTCCTCAAACAAAGAAGATATGAAGAAATGAATATTTTAGACGCCACGACCTAGTGGATCGATTTTTCTTAATAACACCATCGATATGGGTATTAAATAAAAGAATTTGAAGAATTGAATGTGGAAAGCAAGATTCGTCCCCTGGCGAATGTTTCTAACTTTTTTTTCTTTAAGAGATAAGTCTACGTCGTCGGATATCGAAGGGTGTTCGTTTTTTAGGCGAGATTATGTTACTTTTACGGGATATCTATGATACAAGAAAATTTTTTGGACTCATTAGATCACTATTTCCCGTCTTTCAGTAACAGACAAAGGGTTAAAATCTCAATATATTCAAGTATATAATAAAATTTTGAATCGGAGAACAATAGGTAACTGTAATCCAAATTTCTCGTAGACTCTATTTAAATTAATATTTTAAACACATTTTGAGAATGTGTAGAATGGGTAGAGTGCAATATCGATTTCAGAGCTCAATTAATATCGAACCCTTTCAATCCTTATATTCCCAGATGACATGGGACATTGATAAATTGAATATAACTCCAGCGGAGTTCTTCTCTAATGGAATTACATTTGAAGAGAAAGAAAGAAGAGAAATCCCGCTGGTTTTATCAAATAATTGTGTGTGTCATTGATTCTGAAGTCGGAAACACTGCTTTCAAGACTTTCATGTAATGCCACCCAGCGATAAGGGTTAATAATGAATATCATTATCGCCCTTGGTTTTGGTTAAGCATCAAAATCTCCATTTAGTATAAACATTGTTGATTAGCACGAAATTCAAAATTGACCTAAGACTTTTTGTGTTTTTAATTTTTTTTTCAAACTTATTTAATAGTTTTACAATACCGGCCTTACTCAATGTAGAGCGACGATGTAAACGGTTAGCTAAGAATTATATTCGATTTGAGACATAAATTGGTAAACAAAGTCTTAAGCGGCCATAGTTTAGTGAGAAAAAAGGGAAAATATTAGCTTGATGGTGAAATGAAGGTGACGCTCATATCGCTAGACAACATTTTGAAATCATGATCGGGATACACCTTTTCTGCTTTTCTTGCTATACGTTACAGATCATATGCATATATGCATATGAGCATTCCAAGCATAGGTAGTGGACACGCAAGGTTGTAATTTTCTTACATTTATTTGAGGCGTCAAATATTCAAAGCAATGCTCGTATAAAGTTGATGAGGGCAAGTAGCTCCAAGTTAAGCAAGTTGCTCTTCAAATTATCGTTCGTGCTTTTACAATACATTCTTTTTTTAAATTTAGTCTATATTGCCCATCAAACAGTGCATGTCGCCAGCAATTATTTTTACAATTGCTTTATTTTTCTTTTTTTCTCCTGGGTCTCTTCCTCATTTATTTGAAATTTTTTATTTAGCAAAAAACAAAAATAAAAAAAAATTGTGAACACAAAAACAAGAGTGCGTTCATAATGCTTTTACTAGGGAACGTTCATCCGTTTACCAATCAAAATTTTTCTATAAAACGAATTTGTCGTTTAAATGTATTTATGGTTAAAAGCATTTGTTTCTGTCATTAATTGTGAACATTTTAGAAAAACGATGACAGCGTTAAAATACAATATATTTAAAATAATTAAACAGTCTTGTCGATCATAAAAATGACAGAAGAAAATTTGAATGAAATTTTTAACATTTATATATATATATATATTTTTTTCTTAACAAAATTTAAGTTTTTTACAAATAATATTGCGGTCTTCGTGTTCCTCTTTTCAAAAATGTTAGGTTAATTCAGTTCAAGTTTAACTAAAGAGTCCGCATTACAACCATGTAAGATGATCAACTTGAACAAATCGTCATAACATTTTGATGATGAATTGCAATAAGGCATCGTATGCAACAAGTCAGATTAACGGGCAGAGAGTCAAATAGAGGCAGTGGTGTTTGTAACGATGTTAACGAAAACACAGTTTGGTTTTTATCATATGGCAAAGGAAATATGTGAGATGTAGAGGCGTATAAGTTATGTGCGAATGATCGAATAAAAAAGTTAAGAATCAAGGGCAATATATATATGTGATGTTGGAAAAATTCATGGCGATATATATAGATATATAAATAATGGGTCTTAAAAAACGTTTTTGCAGTCTTTCTCGCGCACTTCTTTGTAGTCTGCTCGTTTCAAATGATTCGCAAACTGTTCTGTGATTGATGTACAGTGCCTTCCCTATTCCTGACAGCTTACGTGCCAGTCTTGCTCCACCAGTTGCATATTTCATCGACTTTTTTCCGATCACAGCGAGGTGCAGCTTTGACATCGAAATTTCCGGAACGGAATTGAGCGAACCACTCCTGAGTCCGTCCTTTACTCACAGCATTCACATCGTATACTTTACAAATTTTTCGGCATCTTTAACTATTTTATAGTACAAAACCATCACATAGAGTATTTCTTCAGACATTTCCCCCATTTATACGAGCAAGCTATTAAAAAACTTTCTTTACAAAAAAATGTTGAGCTGAAATGTCACCTTTTAAGCACATTTTCGTTCAAGATAATCAGTTGATTGTGACCTGACATGTAGGCGGTTAACACCAGCCTGTGGAAAAACCGCGAAGACTTTTTATATGACCTAATATTATTTTCACAACATAATTTCCTAGGAAAGAAGGCCGACTCTATATATTGTATTAATGATTGATATACAAAATACTATAATAAACGATGCATAAATAATAGGAATAAGTTTCATTGTATGGTATATAGTAGTTAACGACATAATCATCGCATTGTATTTGTCGGTCAATGTTAACAATAAACGGTTCAATAAATTATCATATTTGGTAAAAACTTAATCACAATTGCGCCACTATTTTTAGAAAAATGCACATTTCTAACAAAAACATTAAATAAGAGAAATATTCTACAGTGTCTCAATAAAGTCTTCATATACGTTATATGAGAGAGTAACACAATTACACAATGTTCAAAGCTTTGAAATACTTGTTGCGTTTCTCTCAAGGATCCTGTTGCCATTTTTTGTTTGTAATAAACGTGTCGATCTATAATTGGATTAGATCAAGCATGAACAACTTTAAAAAAAAATGCTTTTTTATTTAAATCGGATAACTTTTTTGCGACATAATGACTTCATGTAGGGTTATTCTGGTTAAGAAAGCTGGACTGGTGGAAAAATTTTTCCAATCGTTGATAATCGAAGAAGACTTGTCAATGGGACTTTGATTTTTAAGTCATGTGGGCGCGGTTGTTGCGGTCTTGCTTTACCTTTTGTACGAT